ATTGACATGCAGTATGGGCGCCGAAGCTTCCCAATATAACTATATTATATGGGTGTACTACTGACGATCGTTTTACTATCACGATTGTTAATAACAATAAAAAATTAACAAAAGGTATTTTAATTAATTATTACACTACTTATTATTTGGCTAGGAAGTTTTTAATATGTGCACATTCAACGTAATATTAAACTTTAAATTATTCAACAAAGTTAGGACTTTTATTTAGTATATTCAGTTTCAAATATTAATAATCTTAAAATTTTTCTTTCTTTCTGATGTATTAAACAATTTTCATATATTTTATTCATTAGAATAATAAATACAATTGATTTTTTAAACTATGTTTTTACTAATTAAATTTACCTGACAGATTGACTTAGGTGCTTAAACACACTCTTGATTCAGAATCAAATAAGACTAAAATTGAATTGAAATACAATGAGTATGATTTAATGACAAGTGAAGTGGTATGTCTACATAATATTTCTATAATAGAATATCTAAAATTATCATTAATTTATTATTAATTTATTATAAATTTATCAATTACAACATTTATTAACAATTGGAAAATACTATCGCTAATTATAATCTAACTTGCAAGCAGCACCAGAAGTATTTAGTTAATTGGATAAAGCCAAATCAGAAGCTTAACCATAATAAATCAAATACAACAGCTCAAAACAATGTGTATAGCAAATTTCTTGTAATAGTATGTACAGAACTCGTGAAAGGCAAAGATAATAATGAATCTATACAATATATTAAGTTAGAAGAGAAAAAAAGAATGTCTTGGTTAGTAGTTGTAGTGACCAGGTGATAAAATGATAATGCGAATTTACCTTAAAAGGATAAAGAAACTATATATAATCAATTGCTAACCTATATTTAATAAAATCCAAAATCTGGTATTATCTTATTCGTTATATAAGTATCGTTATACTCAAGACAATTTGCATCAATTAAAAAAAAAAAACATCTTGGTTAGTAGTTGTAGTGACTAGGCAATAAAATGATAATGCGAATTTATCTTAAAAAGATAAAGAAACTATATATAATTAATTGTTGACCTATATTTAATAAAATTCAAAATCTGGTATTACCTTATTTGTTATATAAGTATCATTATACTCAAGACAATTTGTATCGATTAAAAAAAAAAAAAGAACATCTTGGTTAGTAGTTGTAGTGACTAGGCAATAAAATGATAATGCGAATTTACTTTAATAAGATAAAGAAACTATATATAATCAATTGTTGACCTATATTTAATAACAGGAGGGAACGTACCCGATCCAAAGTGAATCCCACACATGGTTGATCAATTAAAACTAATATAAATAATTTTAATTGATCACAGATTCACTTTTGATCGGGTATATTCCCTCCTGTTATATTTAATAAAATCCAAAATCTGGTATTACCTTATTTGTTATATAAGTATCATTATGCTCAAGACTAGAGCTATTACCTGGGTCACCCGACTCAATGGGTTATAGATTAAAAATTGCTCTAACCCGGATCAAACGGGTCAGAATTCAAAATATGCAAAAACCTACTAAAATGCAATTTACTAATATAACTATATGGGTAAAAGGCATTATAATTTACTAAATAGTAAAGCTTTTATCTGGGTCATCTGATCTGTGCGGGTTAGCTTCTTAGAGTCAAGTATTTCCAGAAGTAGAAAATGAACGAACTCAAATAATAGGCAAAATCGAAAAATTTTCAATAAAAAAATTTGAAAAACTCCAGTTGAAATATTTGGAGTCAGGCTGTTCTCTATATTAACAGCTCTAATTAAGAGTCATTACATCAACTTTTAAGGATTAACTTTAAAAACTTTGTGAATTTTCGTCTAACCTGTTAATCCAGATTATAACCCAGGTTAATACCTGATCCACCTGGGTCAGTATTTTCTGACCCGAGTAAAACCTCTACTCAAGACAATTTGCATCAATTAAAAAAAAAAAAGAACATCATGGTTAGTAGTTGTAGTGACTAGGCGATAAAATAATAACGCGAATTTATCTTAATAAGATAAAGAAACTATATATAATTAATTGTTGACCTATATTTAATAAAATCTAAAATCTGGTATTACTTTATTCGTTATATAAGTATCGTTATACTCAAGACAATTTGCATCAATTAAAAAAAAAAAGAACATCTTGGTTAGTAGTTGTAGTGACTAGGCGATAAAATGATAATGCAGATTTATCTTAAAAAGATAAAGAAACTATATATAATCAATTGTTGATCTATATTTAATAAAATCCAAAATCTGGTATTACCTTATTTGTTATATAAGTATTGTTATACTCAAGACAATTTGTATTGATTAAAAAAAAAAAAAACATCTTGGTTAGTAGTTGTAGTGACTAGGCAATAAAATGATAATGTGGATTTACTTTAAAAAGATAAAGAAACTATATATAATCAATTGTTAACCTATATTTAATAAAATCCAAAATAGGTATTACTTTATTTGTTATAAGTATCGTTATACTCAAAACAATTTGTATCAATTAAAAAAAAAAAAGAACATCTTGGTTAGTAGTTGTAGTGACTAGGCGATAAAATGATAATGCGAATTTACCTTAATAAGATAAAGAAACTATATATAATCAATTGTTGACCTATATTTAATAACAGGAGGGAACGTACCCGATCCAAAGTGAATCCCACACATGGTTGATCAATTAAAACTAATATAAATAATTTTAATTGATCCCAGATTCACTTTTGATCGGGTATATTCCTTCCTGTTATATTTAATAAAATCCAAAATCTGGTATTACTTTATTTGTTATATAAGTATCATTTAGCTTATTAATATTTACCTAAAAGTAAGAACAATTTGCTTCAATGATACCCAAAAACTTAGCTGAAACCTTGAAAAATTTAACAATACAATTATTATATTAAAATAATATAATTTCAATATTATAATAATACAATTTACAAATTATATGATTTTTATATTATTATTATATTATTATTATATTATTTTTGTATAAATTATATATTATTATTTGCATAGTTATATAGCATTGTACAACTTATTAATTTTATATATTACAATATTTTTAAAATATGATTATAATATTATTTTAATATAATTAACTATATGATAATAATACAATTAATTAAAATATAGTTACAACATGTTTACAATATATTTATAATACAATTTTAATATATTAAATTAAATTGCATTGTAACTATATTGTAATTGTATTGTTAAAACCTATAACTATAAAATAATAATATATAATCATATAATAATAATATAATAATTGTATTGTTAAATTTTTCAAGGTTTTAGCTAAGAAGGACCAAATGAACTTCATAATTATTTCTTGGTCATGTTTCTAATGAAAACAAAATTGCCACCTCGTTGGCATATTATAATTCTTTTTTTTGTTTGTATACTGCATCCTAGATTAGATTTCAGTATGTGTATTAGGTATATTTTTTTATTTTTAAACTCATTAGATATTAGATCGTGTTGCTCTAAAAAAAAATATAAAAATCGATAATTTCTTTGAACAGTTTATAAATTTCAAACTTCTTTTGTAAATAAGAAAATATAAAGAATCTTATTATTTGCTTTAATTTATATCTCGATTCTAGTGTATTTAAGAATAAAAATTAATTAACAATATTTTGATTAAATAATCTCATCTATTTTGTAAAGATTCTTACCTTCAAATGGGTAAAAGTCGAGAAGCACCAGCTCAGTTCAAGCTTAAAGATACAATTGCTCAACTAACTGAGGAGTTGCGGCAACTTAATATATTAGAACAAGGAGGAATGATCACTAATATTGATAAAGAAAAAAAAACGATTCAATGTGAAATTAGGTTATCAACAAAAGCTTTACATAAATTAGAATATCAAAAACAGTTTCAGCAAAAATATAGAAAACAGAAAAAACAGAAGCTTCTGCAAATAGAAAGGCAGTTTAAAGAGGCAGGTCTTGATATGCAGCTTGTTAGGCCAACAGTTGGTCACCCAAGTTTAGAAGAACAACAACCAGGTTTATTAGAAGCTATTGTTCAAATTGTTTCTCCAGATGGGCAGGCTGATGAAAGATGGCGTTCAGAGATCGTATGGTCCGTCAAGACCTTGGACCAGCTTCAAGAAGCATTAACAAATATGAACTATAAGCTATCACACTCTGCGACATACCTTAGGCTAATTCCAAGACGGCATAATAGTGAGGAAGGAAAGTGATATATTAAAATGGTGCCAGTGAAGCTTCTATGATCACAAAATTCAGCAAGAAAAAACTATGAAGATACTCGTTTTAGTGCTGCTTTGATAAGAAATATGAAAGAAATGGTATCATTATTAGGTCCCAAGAGTGCTTTAGTAATATCTCAAGATGATAAAGCACGAATACCTTTTGGTTTAGCCATGGCCAACAAACAAGGTAGTTATAATTTAAAATAAAATAGAATTACTATTTAAAATATAATAAATAAAATACTAATAATAATTCATAATTCATATAGCACTGATTTTTATGAGGCTAGAATACCGAGTAAAACTGCCGGATCATGATTGGGTTGTTGCTGAAAGGCATAAACTAATTCCTTCAGTCTATGCAATATTAGATGTAAAAGAGGATAAGTATAGGCAAGCTGAAGCAGTAACATATTCAGGTCCAATATTTATAAGGATCCGTAGTAATAAACATAATAGCAGTACTGTTTATTCTCACAGTAAAGATTTTAATGACTTGATGAATGAGAAGAAATTGCATAACTACACTACAACAATAAACGAACAACCCAAACCTGTAGTGGTGCTGCTAAGTAATAGTAGTCCTGACGAGAATCCCAGATATAGAAAAACAGTTCAGATGATAATCGAACATTTTGATAAGTATGATCTTGATACTATTATTGTGGCATGCTTTGCACCACACCAGAATGCATCTAATCCGGTCGAAAGGTGAATGACACCTTTAAGTCATGACTTGGCTGGCACCATACTCCTGCATGATATATTTGGAACACATTTAGATGCACAGTTAAGAACAAATAATGAAGAATTAGAAAAGCGTAATTTTAAAGCAGCTGGAGATATTTTAACATCAATATGGGAAAATACAATTATAGATAACTACCCAGTTCTTGTTAAGTATATAGATCCTTCTGATGAACTTTACAGCCCAAGTGAAAAGTCAACAACTTGGATTGAAAATCATGTAATGACTTGTCGCTATATTACTCAAGTCATAAAGTGTGATAATCTAAGTTGCTATAAGCCTTTTCATAGTAGAATCAGGCAAATTCTCCTGAATCGGTTTTTCCCTCCACCACTTGTGGTCCAGCAAATGCTTTATGGTATTTGCGTGGCAAAGATAAATGAATCTGACGATACAACTCACTTTAGCTCTTTTCTTTTATCTGTATTAATAGAAGGAGAGCTAACTCCTCCAGATATGAATTTATGATACCTTCCTTTTAATTAGTATTGCCCAACTGTCAATAAATTAATTAAAGAATATATTTGTTCTTACTGTAATTAGTACTTTGGTTTAAAAAGAACTTTAAAAAACCATACTAAAAAATATTCGCGTAAGGAATCTAACTTATCTGTAGAGCCTGCTTTGGATAGTCAAGAATTCCCGGTGGTGTATATTCACAATTATCAATATGATGAATTCTTGGTCAGTAATGAAAATAGTGAAACTATGTGGGTAGAAGAAGAGATGGTGCCAGAAGATGCATTAAAAACCTATAATCAGCAGGTACAAGTTCAAGAAGAATTGATTGCAGATAAAGTGTTAATAATTAACTGGGATACTTGAAAAGAATGCGAGTAGACAAATGAATTAATATAATATGTATTCACTTTCTAATTCAAAAAAAGCAGGTCAGAGTTAGGGTTACCTTTTTTGATGAATTGTGGGTTTTTTTTATATATAGATATCTAGAATGCAATTTATGCAATATGTAATACATTTAAATCAATATAGTATATAGATTTATTGTTCCATTGTCTGCTCATTTTTTGTGATACCTGATTTGAGATGATTTGTCAGAAAATTTATTATATCTATTAAACGATTATGTTTTTAGAGCAAAAGCAAAGCAAACCCTAGTATAAAAAATTTTAAAGGGCTGAAAGATTAGTTTTATATGCTATTTGGCTCTACGTAAAGAGTTTTCTTCACTGGGTTTGTTTTTCCTGTTTTTTTGATTAAATATATTTTTTTTTCGTTGAAATTTTTACCAGGCTGATAAAATGATAATCAATAATCACTTCTAAATCTATCTTTAATAATAAATAAAGTTTAATAAAATATATGTCTATACGTTATTTTACATAAAAGATAATTTTTATTGGCTGCTTCGCATCCAATAAATATATAATATTCATACAATTATGTTTTTAGAGCAAAAGCAAAGCAAAACCCTAGCATAAAAAATTTTAAAGAGCTGAAAGATTAGTCTTATATGCTATTTGGCTCTACATAAAGAGTTTCTTTACTGGGTTTGTTATTCTGTTTTCTTGATATTTAATATATTTTTTTTTTTCGTCGAAATTTTTACTGGGCTGATAAAATGATAATACTTCTAAATCTATCTTTAATAATATATAAAGTTTAATAAAACATACGTCTGTACGTTATTTTACATAAAAGATAATTTTTATTAGCTGCTTCGTATACAATAAAGGTTATACTATATATTTGCTGTTTTAGGTATATGATCTCTGCTTAAAACAGTTATTTTGCCTTTTTTTAATACCACCTCATCATCACTTATTTCAATTATTTGAGTATTTTCAACCGCTTCTTTATTCGTCTCTCCATCACTTAAATTCTCAATTATTTCGTGTATCGGGCCTTCTTTACTATCATTTTTTAGCACCTCCTCTCTATTTTCAAAAGGCTCATCGGCTACCTCTTTATTTTCAAGAGGCTTATCGGCTGCCTCTCTATTTTCAAAAGACTCATCGGCTGCCTCTCTATTTTCAAAAGGCTTATCGGCTGTTTCGGGTTGTTCTCTTATATGATTATCTTCGAGCTCCAATTTTCTATTTCATAAAAGTTGTATTGATTATATTCTATACTATTTACTTGTTTAGCAATTTCTTTATACTGAATTTGACTTTCAAATATAACTTTTTCTAATTCTTCATTTTTTGTAAAACCAAATATGTTTCCAAAGAACCATATAGTGGATATAGTTGGTGGCATTGTTTGAGTAGAAAACCATTGAGTTTCTTCATATGTCGTAGCAGTATATTGTTGCTTAGCACCAAAGTACTTCCTATGTTCTTTAGTTTTATTACATGCAAGCAAGCGACTAAATGAAATTTTAGTTAATCCTTCATTACGATTTAAAGTACTATATAGAGAACATATCTTTTTATTCTTCTTATTTATGTCATATGTTGGATTAAAAACACTTTCGACATTGAGTAAACACCAATAAACATATTTATCTTGATATGGTTTGTTTATAATATCTTGGGTAGGTGTAATTTTTATAAAGGCTGAAAGTCTCATCAACATTTACTTGAAAAGAAGCATAAATTTTGTCAGTAAAAATATAAGGTTCTGTATCCTGGATATATGTGATAGGTAGTCTTTTTTGTTTTTTAGAATAGAAATTGGATGCTTTTGAATGATTATTCTGTTTTCTAGAGCGTTTAGGTGGCATTTTGATGTAAAAAAAAAAAAGGTCAGATATATTAGTTTCAAGAAAAATGGATACTGTTATATAAGAATTTTAGCATTAATACAATTCATTTATTTTATTGTCAATGCCACGATTTACTAATGTGACATGTTTTTTCAAAAGCTACCTTTATTGATTATATCAAACGACACAGAAATTAATTATCTTATTGCACTTAATAATCCAAAGTTAGCTAAATACGCTGGAAGAAAACTGCTTGATAACCTCATATTATTTTAATCTAGCAATGCATTAAACTAATAATGCCAATTTAGTTATTTTTTAAAGTAGTGTCTTAAGTTTATACTTCGTGAAGAACCTTAATTTAATACATCTAAAATTAGCCAATAGAAGCTTTTATTAATCTATTTTAGAAATGTGTTATTATTGTAACAATGCTAATTAGTTATCTTTTTTTAAATTAGTCTCTAGAAGTTTACACTCATCAAATATGACTATATGTTATAATAATAGAAAGTCTCAATATAGTAATACAAGCCGCGAATATTTGTCACATATTAAAAATTTTTTATTTAAGTAGATCTTGAGTATATCAGGGTGGCCCCCCCAAAGTACAAGTCGATCATCGGCCCAGACTTTGGAGAGCCACTCTAATTTACTTGATAAGCTGCAGGAGTGATTTCAATTATCGATCTAACATCAATTATCAATCTGATGGCGATCATCGACCCGAACTTTGGGGGGCCGCCCTGATATACTTGTAGATCTTCATCCAAAACTAGCTAAGCACATAAAGGTTGTATTTTTCTTATTATTCTAATTTACTGTATGATTATGTTGTACTAATAATATATCTTTTGAATTAACATTCAAAGTTTATACTTTCATTTATAGAAAGTATACCATTTTCTAGTAGGTTGTCTTATTTATATGTTCTAACATAATAATATTGGAAGTTTATTTAATAGAAGATTCAATGTAGAACACGCTTTCTGATTTATGCTTACTTTCAATTAGAGAACCATTTATGCATATTGACACGTTAAAATCTTTGTGCTTATTTTTAGAAGTTATCATAGCATACCTTTCAATTTCAATTAGTCATTATTAATATATAATTTGGGTATATGTGCTATAATAATGATTTCATTAAAATCGCTAAAAAGGGGCTTTTCGCATTATTATTCCTGAATGATTATACTGCTGCACTGTGCTATATTCTGATTATTGGCTATTAAAAAGTTTTTAACAATCAAACAATCATCACTCGGTTGTGTTGTATTTTTATTTATATATCCCTTAAATTGTAACACAGGCAAATTTGCCTGTGTTTTTATTAAAAAGTTTAATTTTTTTAATAAAAACTT